TGTGTGATTGTCAGTCAGATCTCTGTGTATGCACTAGTCACTAAACTGGTCTCTGAAGATTGTATTATATCTTAGATAATTTGCTTTTTATCTGCTAATTTAAAAGGCATTAAAGTACAGTTATAGTCCCAAAGCATCCATACAAATAGCATTCTGGGGTTCCATATTTAGCCTCTTTTGATGGTTTGCATATGAAAGGCCAAATTATGCCCTCAATTACACCTGTGAAACCCTCTGACGCCACAGGAAACTAAGGGAAAAATTTGGCCCCAAATTTACTTACTTGAAAAATGAAGCTTGTTTCAACTGCCAGCACTTCAAAATAGACCTTTCCCAGACCTAAAGAAGAGCTCCGCATAAGCTTAACTCTTTCACCAACAGAGGTTGGTCCAATAAAAGATCTCTCACCCACCTTGTCTCTTAGCACTTCAAAATAGCATTCCTGCCAAAAGGATCCGTTATTAGAGGAAAAGAAAAGAGAAGGAACAAGACATGGAGGTGACAGAGTGTGGGGGTGGGATGTGGACAGCTTTGATTATTTTACATAAGAATGGCCATACTGGATCAGACCAATTGCCTATCTAGCCCAGTATCCTGTCTTCCGGACAGTGGCCAGTGTTGGATGTTTCAGCAGCAGTGAAAATAACAGGGCAATTTATCAAGTGATCCATCCCCTGTCATCCACTCCCAGCTTCTAACAGTCAAGAGGTTTAGGGACACCCAGAGCAAATAGCCATTGATGGACCTAACCTCTATGAATTTATCTAATTCTTTTTTGAACCCAGTTATACTTTTGGCCTTCACAACCAGTTCCACATGTTGGCTGCATTGTGTGAAGAAATTCTTCCTTTTGTTCATTTTAAACCTGCTGCCTATTAATTTCATTGGATGACCCCTGGTTCATGTGTTATGTAAAGGGATAAATAACACTTCCTTATTTACTTTCTCCACACCATTCATGATTTTATAGACCTCTATCATATACCCCCTTAGTCCTCTCTTTTCCAAGTTGAACAGTCTTTTTAATCTCTCCTCAGATAGAAGCTGTTACCTATCCCTAATCATTTTTGTTGCCCTTCTCTGTACTTTTTCCAATTCTAATATGTCTTTTTTGAGATGGGGCAGCCAGAACTGTACACAGTATTCAAGGTGTGGGTGTACCATGGATTTATATAGAGGCAACATGATATTTTCTGTCTTATTGTCTATCCCTTTCCTAATGGTTCCTAACATTGTTAGCTTTTTTTGACTGCTTCTGCACATTGACCAGATGTTTTTGGAGAACTATCTAGCATGATTCCAAGATCTTTTTCTTGAGAGGTAACAGCTAATTTAGATGCCATCATTTTGTACATATAGTTGGGATTATGTTTTCCAATAAGCTTTACTTTTCATTTAGCAATATTGAATTTCATCTGCCATTTGTTGCCCAGTCACCCACTTTTGTGAGATCCCTTTGTAATTCTTCATAGTCTGCTTTGGACTTAACTATTTTGAGTAATTTTGTATCGTCTACAAACTTTGCCACCTCACTGTTTACCCCATTTCCAGATCATTTATGAATATGTTGAACAGCACTGGTCCTAGTACAGATCCTTGGGTGAACCAGAAACTTACCTCTCTCCACTGTGAAAACTGACAATTTTTCCAACCCTTTGTTTCCTATCTTTTAACTAGTTACTGATCCATGAGAGGACTTTCCCTCTTATCCCATGACTGCTTACTTAGCATAAGAGCCTTTGGTGAGGAACCATGAGAAAGGCTTTCTGAAAGTCCAAGTACACTATATCCATTGGATCACCCCTGTCCACATGTTGGTCGAGCCATTGAATTCTAATAGATTGGTGAGGTATGATTTCCCTTTACAAAAGCAGTGTTGACACTTCCCCAACATATTGTGTTCATTTATGTGTCTGATAAGTCTACAATTACAGTACCTGGTACTGAAGTTAGGCTTACTGGCCTATAATTGCCAGGATCACCTGTGGATCCTTTTTTAGAAATTGGCATCATATTAGCTATCCACCAGGCATCTGGTACAGAGGTTGATTTAAGTGATAGGTTACATACCAAAGTTAATATTCTGCACTTTCATATTTGAGTTCCTTCAGAATTCTTGGGTGAATACTATCTGGTCCTGCTGACTTATTACTGTTGAATTCATCAATTTGCTCTAAAACCTCCTCTACTGACACCTCAATCTGGTACAGTTCAACAGATTTGCCACCTAAAATAATGTCTCAGATGTGGGAATCTCCCTCACATCCTCTGCAGTGAAGACCGATTTAAAGAATTCATTTAGCTTCTCCACAATGACCAGGGCCGGCTCCAGCATTTTTGCTGCCCCAAGCAGAAAAAAAAACCAACAAAAAGCCACGATCGGCGGCACTTCGGCGGCGGCTCTACCGCCGCTGCTTCATTCTTCGGCAGCAATTCAGTGGCAGGTCCTTCCCTTGGAGGGGGACTGAGGGACCTGCCGCCGAAGAGCTGAATATGTTGCCCCTTTCCGTTGGCCGCCCCAAGCAGCTGCTTGCTGCGCTGGTGCCTGGAGCCGGCCCTGACAATGACCTTGTCTTTCCTGAGTGCTCCTTTGGCACCTCGATTGTTCAGAGGCCCCACTGTGTGTTTGGCAACTTCCTGCTTCTGGTGTATTTAAAAACAATTTTGCAATTAATTTTTGTGTCTTTTGTTATTACAGTTTTACACTTGACTTGCCAGAGTGTATGCTCCTCTCTGTTTTCCTCAGGTTTTGACTTCCAATTCTTAAAGAATGTGTTTTTCTCTAACTGCCTCTCTAACTCTGTTTAGCCATGGTGACTTGCCTTTTTTTGTTGTTTTTTTTGTCCTCTGTTTTTTATATTTGAGATATACATATAGTTGTGCCTCTATTATGGTGTTTTTAAAAGTTTCCATGCAACTTGCAGGCATTTCACTCTTGTGACTGTTCTTTTAATTTTCATTTAATTAGCCTCCTCATTTTTGTGTAGATCCCCTTTATGAAGTTAGATGCTACTGTGGTGGGTTTCTTCAGTTCCCTGCTCTCCCCCCCCCCAGGATGTTAAATTTAATTAGATTATGGTTACTATTACCAAGCCATCCAGCTCTATTCACCTCTTTGCCCAGATCCTGTGCACCACCTAGGACTAAATCAAGAATTCCCTCTTCCTTGTGGGTTCCAGGACTAGCTGCTCTAAGAAGCAGTGATTAATGGCATTTAGAAATGTTATCTCTGCATTCCATCCTGAGGTGACATGTTCCCAGTCAGTATGGGGATAGCTGAAATCCCCCATTATTATTCAGTTTGCTGTTTTTGTAGCGCTTGTAGAGTGACTGCATCACCTGGCAGTGGAGAGAATTCCTCTCTGCCCACCAACCAACTCCTGTGGATATTCCCAGGACACAGCCCCGTCACTAGGACTGTGTGCTGGATTTTGCTACTGCCCCTAAGTGATTTCTCAAGATAGACTAGATAGGACAGGTTATTGAATCAAGCCCTTTGCCTCAAGAGATCCCAACACCATCAATGAAGGGTTTACTATTACCTGGCTTGGTAACATCAGTGGTATTACCTACTCCAGGCACCCAGAGAGCAATCAGTACTGACAGAACTTACCCACGCACCTGGAAAGAATATACTCCATTGCTGATTATCAGATCCACCCCACACAGGGCTGGCCTTACAATTTGTAGGGTCCCCGAGCTATTGGAGCAGGAGGGGGGAAAACACTAGGCGGTGAGTTGTCTCTTCTTCTGGTCCTGCGGCTAAAAAGGGGAAGATTTGGCCAGCCAATGAATTGCCTAGGACATAAAAATAGCCTCATGGATGCTTTGGTGATGGAGGCCTTAAAGTGCCTGGAGAGAGATCTTTGAATCTGGAAGTGTAATAAGCAATCAATTTTAAACACTGAAAACCATTTTGAAGCTGTAAGCACAAAGATGAACCCATTACTCTTACTGCACTTTGACCGGCTTTGGATGGACTTTGGGCCGAGCAATTTCAGAGCTAGAAATGGAACAGGATCCTTTTTATATATACACAACATATGTAAATTGAACAACCTGATAGAAAAAAATCATCATCATATAATTACAGATACGGCAAAAATCCGACATAGCCTTTTCTCAGTGCACAGGTTTTGGAAAAGATTTCTGTACAATGTTTATAAAGTGTTTTAAAAAACCATCAGCGTCTCATTGTGCTTAGTCAAAACAGCTTTCTGCCACAGTGAATTCACTGCCTTAACCATAGCTCTAAAAGTTACTGCATGTTGGTTTGATGTAGCAGAAAGCTCTGGAATCCCACTGGTATTCTCATCTGAAGAGGTATGCGTGAGCAATACCATGTGACGAGAGAGTGTCTAAAATCACATTGTATTTAAATCAGTTAACCACAAAAGCTGATATTACAATGAATAGGGCCTGATCCTGCATGCCCTCTGCAGGCTGAGTCCCCATTGATGTCAATGGGAGTCGTGTATTAAGGGCTTGTAAAGTCCTGCCTGTAACTGGCACTTGGCTAGCAATGATTTCAGCAAAATCTGAATCCAACACAGTTTTGCAGTAAATGACGACTGCCTAGGGTCAACCTAGTTTTACTCCACCAATCACTACTCTCTTCCAAATCAGTCTGCCAAGACCGTGAGGCTGTCTTATAAGGCTGCCTTTCAAAAAACTAAGGCAACAGTATTTTGGTTCCCATTTTAAACACCCTCTTTATAATATGGACATCACTATAACCAGAAGATTGCTTGCTTTCCAAGAACAGCCTTGTCAAGAGGGTGTGCACGCCCACTTAACAGCACCTACATTAACTTTGGTTCTGAGTAACTGGACAGATACTGCAACCACTAGCATGAGTTACATCCCTCAGTTTGGGAAACCACATGAAATGTATGTAATACTCAATACAGAATTATATACAGACAGATTCCACCTTGTGTCTGTTCATACTGTATGCCTTGCCTCAGGCCCAGCTGTGTATATCACAGGACTACGTTGCATCACGTTCCCGGGTTCATCCTGCTCATTATGAAGCTCTTGACGTTGGGAACTGGATGCACATCATACTGGTGTCTGCGGCGCTCAATGAAGCAAGCCAGACGGGAGGTATCCAGTGGGATTTTGGAATAGCTGCCATTGTGAGGCTGCAGCCAAGGATGCTGTAAACAAGTGGCTGCTGTTGGCCTCCTCCTGAAGTCTTCCTGGAGGATAACGTTGATGAAGTCTCTGGCTGCATGACTCACATCACAGAAATACTCATGAGGGAAGCTGAAATCCACTCTGCACACGTTTATACACGTCTCCTCTTTGCTTTCATCCAGGAATGGAGAGACGCCACTTAACATGACATAGGTGAGGACCCCAATACTCCAGATGTCTGTGCCCAGTGAGACAGGGGCACCTTGGATAACTTCAGGAGCTGCAAACTCAGGGTTTCCAAGCAGCTGATGAACATGGTAATGACCCGTGATCTGAACTGCATCTTCCAAGTCTATAAGCTTGACACGAGGCACTGGGATCCTTAAGTCAATGAGCAGATTTTCTGGCTGTTGAAATTTTAAAACAGACTAAATTGTGGGATTGTTTTGTAAATGAAATGTGTCGCTTTCATTTTTAGAGAAATTGACACCAGTGGTTCTCAACCAGAGGTCCAGGGATCCCCCTGGTCCGTGAGCAGGTTTCACGGGGTCCACCAAGCAGGGCCAGTGTTAGATTTGCTGGGGCCCAGGGCAGAAAGCCAGAGTTCCACTGCATGGGGCTGAAGCCTGGGGCCCTGAGCTCCACCACCTAGGGCTGAAGCAGAAGCCTGAGCAACTTAGCTTCATGGTGCCCCCTGTGGCGTGGGGCCCTGGGCAATTGCCCTGCTTGCTACCCCTTAATGCCAGCCCTGGCTTTTATATGCAGAAAACCAGTTATTGTGGCACAGGTGGGCCGTGGAGTTTTTATAGCATGTCTGGGGGGGCCTCAGAAAGAAAAAGGTTGAGAACCCCTGTGTACTAGCTCATCAAAACTTATACTGAATCAGAGATGCGAAATACCAATCAGGACACTGAATGCCTGGGAACAAATTCAGCTCCCATTTACACAGCCTTTAGCGTCAACGGAGTTATTCTGGTTTTACACCAGTGTAATGGAGCAGGACTTGACTCTTGGTTACTATGAGACGAGAGAAGTTTATTTTTCCCAAATTAATCTTCCTAGAGCAATTATATATGGATATAATTATTTGTCTTCCAAACTAGAGTGCAGGTATTTTTGGTCCTAACCTCTGCTGGTTTCCTCCTGCTCGAAGCTATTTCAGCATTTCTTATGGCTCTCTCCCTATACTTGTTGCAGATCTGCAGGGCTCTGGGCTGTGTCCTTCCTTTTGCATGGTGTCAAGTATCAGAGGGGTAGCCGTGTTAGTCTTGATCTGTAAAAAGCAACGAAGAGTCCTGTGGCACCTTTAAGACTAACAGATGTATTGGAGCATAAGCTTTCGTGGGTGAATACCCACTTCGTCAGACGCATTCACCCACGAAAGCTTATGCGCCAATACATCTGCTAGTCTTAAAGGTGCCACAGGACTCTCTGTTGCTTCCTTTTGCACTTTCCCCAGGAGTTCTCATTTGAGCCATGGATTCAGCTCTCATCTAGCTTGTGATAACTTTCAAATTTATTTCTTCACCATCATCTACTCATATCTCTCTGCTGATCTCTCCTTTATCTCCTCATCCTCATGCAGTTCTTACTGCTACCTCAAGCTCAATGTGTCTAAAATTAAACTAATCACAGAGCTTTCCAAACTCTCTTCTCTCTCCGTTCTCAAATCATTGTTGACAATACCAGCATCCCTTCCCTCACCCAGTTTTATAAGTGCATGACTCAGCCTACTCTGACTTCTGCCTCTCTGGCTTCTCACTTACCAGCACAGTTTTGTTCCCTTCAGTGCATCTCTGAATGACTCAAGTGATGGGGACTTCCACCAGTTGCTTTGGGAAACTATCCCATGGTCTAATAGAGTTGCTAATTTAGGATTCAGTGTAATTTAAGTAATTTGCAGGAACACCTATATACTTCCTGAAAGCTGCTGTAGGTCCAGCAAAGAATATACAAATACATATTAAAAAGCATTTTCGGTAGCTTAGCCAATTGGGACTTAACCTTTTTATATGTTATTTTGGAAAAAAGATTTGGTCATGGGCAATGGAAGAACCAAAGTACCACCTGAAATAACATTTCTGGGGTGAAGATTCCAGGAGACTCCTCCATGGAGCTGAGTCTACTAGTAGGGATTAAGTCACTAAGTGGAAAGGGAATTCATCTAAGAGGGTGGGTTGGTGCCTCAGTGTCTATTTTTGATTGCCATTTAAGTCTGCACATGCACTTTATATAAAAAAATAATAATCCCCAAACAACCAATACCACCTTAACTTCTACCCAGGGCAGCTTGAGCCCAGGTTGGTGTCAATCCCCAGTGAAATTCCAGTCACTGTATTGTATGCTAATTATAATCAATCAGTCAAAAGAATTGGAATGCCAATAAGTAAAACATTACAATAATGAATTCAGGACATTATCTGTCAGACTCTGACAGCATAGCTGCCTCCTGCCATGTGTGTTAACAAAACAAGGTTTGATTCATGGTAATGACATTATAGACTTTTGAGCCTCTCTAATTCTCCAAAATGCAGTTGGGAAAATCCTTCTTCCCTCTGACCAAGTCACTCCCCTCCTTGAATCTCTCCACTGGGCTCCTCTCCCATCCCATTGAAGTTTAAGCTCCTTGCCCTCACCTTCAAGGCTTTGCACTGCTATGCTCTTGCCTGCCCCTCTGCCCTTTTCTTTTCGTAGTCCCTACTTTGCTCCTCGCGCCCAACTTCTCCTTTTGCAGCCTTCTCCTACTTTTGTCTTCTTTGCAAGAACAACTTTTCTCATGTGCCAGGCATCCACTCTTCTAATTAAATCCCGCCTTAAAACATGGCTCTTCCACAAAGCCCAGCAGTATAAACCCATCAAACAGGGAAGGGATGTCTTACGTATTAAAAGGAAGAAAGAAATCCCGCACCACAGTGTGATCAGCATTTCTGCTGGCCACCTGGTGCTTTATAGATCTGAACTGTAGTGCTTGTCTATTTCGATTGTAAACTCATTAGGGCACAGACTGTCTAAGCGTTCTGGGGTTGGTGCTTGACCAAGGAATAGCTTCATCCTCTTTTCTTCCTACCTTTATATCTAAATGAGCCACTCTGCAATTGTGAAGATATTGTAAGGCTTCCATTGTGTCTCTTATGTAGAAAGCTACTTTTTCCTCCATCAGTTCATCATGATTCATAAGATAATCCAAGAGACGGCCGTCATCCATACTAAAAACAAATCAAAAACCCAGCTTGAAAAAAAAATTCATCACACGAAACCTCCAGGAATGGCTAATATTTGAAAATATAACTGCAATGACTAAAAATGGAGGAAGCTCAAATGTAAGGCTCAGCATGTAGCTAATGATATCTAAAGACACTGGCAGGCCATGAAAACGGTAGGATGATTATTCCTCAACCATTAACTTATCAACAGTCTTTGAAAAACTAAAGCAGCCTCAAGATACCATCATTTGCTCAAGGACTAATTCAACATATGGTGGCAATTTCTCTGAAAACAAATACATTTATTTACTGGGATTGGTCTATTTATCTGTAGAGCTGATGGATAAAGGTGTTAAAAAAAAAGAAAAAAAAGAAATTTTCAAATGAAAATATTTTCCTTTTGAAAATGTACACTCTGAAAAATGTCCACCCAGGCCTATTTATCTGTGTATATATACACACACACACACACACACACAAATAGCCCACCTGTACGTCATGGGACATTCTCTACCTAGGTAGCATTTTGCATTAATAATAATATCAAACTTTTTTAATAATTAGATTTCAAAGCAGGCCAATATCATTATCCCCATTTGACAGCTGGGGAAACTGAGGCACAGGGTGGCCAGTGACTTGCCTCAGGTCACCCAGCAGGTTAGTGACAGAGCCAGGACTAGAACTCAGGTCTCTGGAGTCTTAAACCAGTGCTCTGTCCACTAAGACATGTTGTCTCCAAAAGCCACCCTTTCTTTACAGAGCAATAGTGCTTGCTGCACTGCATTTGTCACTAAAAAAAAAAAAAAAAAAAATAGGCATTTGGGTGAGATTTGACTGATATATATTTGAACACAATTATCAAAAATGGACAGTGGGGGCCAAATTAATCTCTGATGTAATCCCACTGCCTTCAGCGGAGTAACATCAAACATGAACTTGTCCCAGTGATTCTTAGTTTCCTTTAGTCCATAGACGAGAGACAATAGAAATCCAGCGTGTAACGGGTGCGCTACCCGGCACTATGATCTAAAAAAGGGCAGCGGGTGACATGCTAGGCTCACTGAAGTCAATGGGAGAGCCGCACTTAACTCCTGATCCTGCGAGGTACTTACAGCTCTAAAACTAAGATATAAGACGTGGGCGACTCATAGGTATCGTGGATAGTTATGTACTGAGGATGCTGCAAGTGCTGTAACAAAGCTGCTTCGTGTGCCGCCTGCTCTTTCTTTTTCATTTTTTTACTAATGAATTTCACAGCGACGTCCTTCCTGGTGGCTTTGTGAATACATTTCTTTACTGTGGAGAATCGACCCCTGGAAGACACGATAATGAAGACGATCCATGAATAAATCATGTCTGGTTTTTTCAGTGCAATAAGAGTGATTTTCAAAGTGTTATTTGAGTCAGCGCATTAATATTTTACAAGGAATCAGATTTGTCTAGTTATTCATAACATTTCCTTACAAAGAACCTACGTTCCCTATCCTGGGAGTTTAGATTTTTTGGGATGAGCAAAAAGATGATAAATGGCGTCATTTCTCTTTGTACAGTCATTGTGCTGTCGTCTAATGATCTCCCGTGGGCTCAATTTGCAGCTGCTGCTTTTTCTTTTAAATAAGCACAAAAATATTTTCTTGATAAAAACGACCACTCTCAGAAAACCAAAAGAACCCCCCCCATTAATTAACAATATTTAATAATTTCACCTAGTCATTTCAGATATGAGGTCAAGTGATTCTGAGGGGAAGCAGTAGTGAATCACTTATACAGAGCAGGTCAGACTTGTCCAAAGCCATGCACAATTGTTCCACAGTGGAGGAACAAAGTGAAATACTCTTGTCTTGTAACTAGTAAAGTAATTAAAGAATCCATATACTGAACACAGACAGGTACTAGATGAATTGCACATTGCCCTACAGAGCCACGATAGAACCCTAACCCATTAGCCCCAGAAACACTGGCCTCCACCACTTGACCTAAAGCAGATCTCTTAGACTGCACTAGTAGTAGATCCCTTATCTTTATGTATTGGCCAACCCCAAGAGGGTGAGCTCACACAAAGTACTCTACATTACCCATTTGGGCTCCAGTTCAACAAATCATCTCTATTCAGCAAAGCACTTACGTGCATGATTAACTTTAATCGTGCACTTAAATACTTTGTTGGATAGTGATGGACTTAAGCACACGCTTAAGCACTTTGCTGAACTAGGGCGCTGAGAGTTAAGTATATCAAGATTGGCTGGATTATCATGACATTAAAAGCCCAGGTCAAACTAGAGAAATGAGAGCAGATGCTAGCAAAAACTTCCAGTGACGGATACAGATTTCCACACCTAATAGGTTAGAAGTTCACATTCAGCCATTCCCTTCTGAATTACACTCAGACTATATTCTAAACTTGATCTTGAAAGTGACATATTTTGTACTGATTTTATGTGCACAACAGCATGAAAGAAATGGCATTTTTAAAAAGGTAAGAAGGAAACGTTGCATTTACTTGGTAGCTACAAAAAGAACCCTAAACATTCTCCTGATGGGAAAGCTTCACATGGTTGTTTTTCTGGTTTATTACAATGCTAATATTACCTCCCAATCTCATGGAATTCCATATAAGCAAAGTCAAAGTTTTCTTTCCATGAAACAGTGGCGCCATCAGCGGCAGCATCTTTGGGGAAAAACAAATTCAAGAAAGATCCAGGTTAAGAAAAGTTTCCTAGGTAACATAAAACACGTTCTAATGATCATATAGCATTTAAAAATTTAAGTGTCTTAAAGGAGAAATTAACAATTAAGAGTCAGTTTCCATATCTCTTCCCTAGGCAAAACTGCCAGCGGGAGATTCTGCGCTGTGCCTCTAAAAGGTGCAGCCCAGGAGAAGAGGAAGTTAAGGTGACTTGAAGTTACCTTTGTGACGTCCGAGTTCTGGGCTGCTCCAGTGGCTGCATGATCTTCACTGTAACAAAGACAGCTTGTGGGGCCTAAGTTATAGTTGCCTCTCTGGGCACATCTACACTACAGCTGGGAGCGAGCGACCCAGCCCAGGTAGACAGAGTCACACTGACGGGGTGTCAGGGTTCCCTCCCCACTCTGAACTCTGGGGTACAGATGTGGGGACCCGCATGAAAGACCCCCTAAGCTTATATTCAACCAGCTTAGGTTAAAAACTTCCCCAAGGCAGAAATCCTTCCTTGTCCTTGGATGGGTACTGCTGCCACCACCAAGTGAGTTAGACAAAGATTCAGGAAAAGGACCATTTGGAGTTCCTGTTTCCCTAAAATATTCCCCCAAGCCCCTTCACCCCCCTTTCTGGGGAGGCTTGAGAATAATATACCAACCAAATAGGTTAACAAGGTGAGCACAGACCAGACCCTTGGGGTTTTAGGACACTAAAAACCAATCAGATTCTTAAAAAAAACCAGAACTTTATTATAAAGAAAAAAGTAAAAGAAGCACCTCTGTAAAATCAGGATGGAAAGTAATTTTACAGGGTAATAAGATTCAAAACACAGAGGATTCCCCTCTAGGCAAAACTTTAAAGTTACAAAAAAACAGGAATAAACCTCCCTCTTAGCATAGGGACAATCCACAAACTAAAACAAAAGATAATCTAACGCATTTCCTTCCTATTACTTACAATTTGTAATCTTAGATGCTTAGTTCAGGTATGGCTTTGGGAGATGTATTTTCCCTGCCTTGATTCCTCGATGACCCAGAGAGAACACACAGAGAGAGACAAAACAAAAACCTTCCCCCACAGATTTGAAAGTATCTTCTCCCCTTATTGGTCCTTTCGGTCAGGTGCAACCAGGTTATTTGAGCTTCTTAATCCTTTACAGGTAAAGGAGGGATTTTATGCTACCCTTAGCTGTATGTTCATGACACGGGGTTTGAGCTAGTGCACTAAAAATAGCAGTGCAGATGTTGCGAGTTGGGCTGGAGTGCAGGCTCTCAAGGGTTGAAGAACATAAGAACGGCCATACTAGGTCAGAACAATGGTCCATCTACCCCAATATCTTGTCTTCCAACAATGGCCAGTACCAGGTGCCCCAGAGGGAATGAACAGAACAGGTCATCATCAAGTGATCCATCCCCTGTTGCCCATTCCCAGCTTCTGGCAAACAGGCTACGGACACCATCCCTGCCCATCCTGGCTAATAGCCATGGGTGGACCTATCCTCCATGAATGTACCTAGTTCTTTTTCAAACCCTGTTATAGTCTTGGCCTTCACAACATCCTCTGGCAAAGAGTTCCAAAGGTTGACTGTGCATTGCATGAAGAAATTCTTCTTTTTGTTTGGTTTAAACCTGCTGCCTATTAATTTCATTTGGTGACCCCTAGTTCTTGTGTTATGAGAAAGAGTAAATAGCACTTCCCCCTATTTACTTTCCCCACACCGGTCATGATTTTATAGACCACTATCATATCCTTCCTTAGTCGTCTCTTTTCCAAGCTGAAAAGTCCCAGTCTTATTAATCTCTCCTCATACAGAAGGTGTTCTATACCCCTAATCATTTTTGTTGCCCTTTTCTGTACCTTTTCCAATTCCAATATATCTTTTTTGAGATGGGGCGACTACATCTGCACACAGTATTCCAGATGTGGGCATACCATGGATTGATATAGAGGCAATATGATATTTTCTGTCTTATTATCGATCCCTTTCCTAATGATTCCCAACATTCTGTTTGCTTTTTTGACTGCCGCTGCACATGGAGTGGATGTTTTCAGGGTTGAGAGCCTGAGCCCCAACCTGAATTGCACAGCCCACTCTGCTATTTCTAGTGTGCTAACTCTAGCCACACTAGCGCGAGTCTACCCACCCAGGCTAGGAGACTTGCTTCCAGCTGCAGTGTAGACATACTCTTAAAACAGCCGTGAAACTGCCCAGAATCTCAGTGCTGTAGCCCTGTGCCTGACATACCCTCCCATCTCCATCCCTGCCCCCTAAGCTGCGGCTTATGAGGGGGTCCCTAAAGGAGAGACTTGAAGCTGTTTTCCACAGTGCCTGCACCAAAAAGCTCCCACTGCTAGATCCTAGCTTCTGGAGCCCCTTTTTGCCACTCTGGCCCTTTTCCAGAGTGGGGTGAGGATCTGATCGCCAGGGAGTGGAGGGTCAGCCTCAAATCCTGAGCTGTCGTATTGAGTAGGAGTCAAATAATACAGCTTCCATTTAAGTGCAAGGAAAAGCAGAGACTTCTAATGCCATTGTAAGATAAGTTCTATTATTTCTTACAATATAAAACAAAATTATTATTTATATTACAGTTAGTGCCTAGACCCACCAACCAAGACCAGAGCTCCATGGTGCTAGGCAATGCACGAGTCAGACCTCGCTCCAAAGAGTTTATGGTCTAAATAGGCAAGGCAGAATGTGGGAGATGGAAAGTATTATCCCATTTTACAGATGGGCACTGAGGATCAAGTGACTTGTCCAAGGTCACACAGGACCTTGACTGCAAGTCCATCCTCCCTCTCCATTTAAAAGGGTTTTATGACTTGATGAAATACATTCATATGTTTTAAACCAAGAGCACTTAAATTTCCTTATCTGTAAAATGAGGTTAGTAATCCTGCCTTATCCACATCTCAGGGGCGTGGGGAGGATTAATATTTGTAAACTGATTTGAAAGCCTCAGATGAAATCCCTTACAGAAGTGTAAAGGATTATTGGCTGGGTCTGCAAAGCCCTTCATTCAACTTGATTATATTTCTCCAATGACCTACTTTCCAGACAGAGCCGGTGGCATGTGGGGGTAGGGCAGGTAAGAGAGGAATGGGGCATACATCGCCTGGCATGGGGGGATATGGAGGAATCCTGTTATGGTGGGGTGGAGGAATGGCGAGTTTTCTGGGATCCATCAGATACTCAGTTATCCAAATGCCTTTTCCTTTTGGAGAGAAAGGAGTTGTGCTGATGCTAGGACTTGGTGAGGCTAGTAACATTTAGGACTGTTCTGAGGAAGCATCTAGCTTTCTCTGATATTCATCACCTGAATCAGCTCTGGAATGGAAATTTAATGTTGACCAATCAAGGAACAATTCTCCTTATAAGCATTACCTTCTCCTTCTCATCCGTCAGCTGGCCTTTTCCTTTTCACAAAGTACTCACCATACTCAGGGAGGATCACAAATTCTGAGGGCTCACTAGGTAAACTAATTCCCCAGGGATTGCTGGCGCTGACTCTGAACTGATATCGACAGCCTGGAGTGAGATCTTCAATGACGAGATAGGTATCCAAAGTGGAGGCTACTGACTGCTGCCAGACCTGGGATCCTGAATTTTATGGAGAAAAAGAGCCATTTGAAGAAAATACAGTTTGATTTAGCTCAAAAGTAGAATACCAGTTCTTAAAGAATACCAGTTCTTAGCCATCACCGTTTACAGGTGATATAGCGGAATGATAAGGCCAATTCATAAAGAAATCAATGTGTGAATGAAGCATACTCAGTAAGAGAATATTTTCTCTCTCTCTCTCTCTCTCTCTCTCTCTCTCTCTCTCTCACACACACACACACACACACACACACATGTCACATGAGGCTGTTTATATTGGAGCAGGTAAAATCCATGGTTTTTTTTTTAAAGGTAGAAATGAAAAAGCCTCTATTATTATGCAATTAATTTTGACCATTGACCTGAAAATACACAGGATTGTTTGCAATGATACATTCTTGAGTGATTTGCTCAAGACAAGTTTTGATGGGCCTAATGCTCCACTCCAATACACTGGTTTTGAGCTGCTTTAATTCCGTTGTTTAGGGTGATCCAAGGGGTTCTAACTTGCATTAGGCATGTGGCCTCCTCTTGGAGTTATACTGGTGTAATGGAGAGGAGAATCAGGCCTCCCTCGTGATGGGGCTTCCACCACATCCCACGGGAGACTATTCCATTGTTTAGTATATGACAGTTTCCTGATAGGTTTCAGAGTGGTAGCCGTGTTAGTCTGTATCAGCAAAAACATTGAGGAGTGGCACCTTAGAGACTAACAAATTTATTACATTGGTATATGCCATCATGTGCCAGCAATACCCCTCTGCCATGTACATTGGCCAAACCGGACAGTCTCTACGCAAAAGAATAAATGGACACAAATCAGAAATCAAGAATTATAACATTCAAAAACCAGTAGGGGAACACTTCAGTCTCCCTGGACACTCAATAACAGACTTAAAAGTGGCAATTCTTCAACAAAAAAACTTCAGAAACAGACTCCAACGAGAAACTGCAGAACTGGAATTAATTTGCAAACTGGACACCACCAAATTAGGCCTGAATAAAGACTGGGAGTGGATGGGTCACTATAAAAACCAATTCCCCCCTGCTGATACTCACACCTTCTTGTCAACTGTTTGAAATGGGCCACCTTGATTACATTGGCCTCGTTAGCACTACAGAAGTGATTTTTCCTCTCTTGGTATTCACCCCTTCTTGTCAACTGTTGAGAATAGCCCATTTCCACCTTAATTGAATTGGCTTGTTAGCACTGACCCCTCACTTGGTAGGGCAACTCCCATCTTTTCATGTGCTGTGTATTTATACCTGCTACTGTATTTTCCACTCCATGCATCCGATGAAGCGGGTTTTAGCCCACAAAAGCTTATGCCCAAATAAATTTGTTAGTCTCTAAGGTGTCACAAGTACTCCTCGTTGAGTTTCCTGATAGCGCATCCTAAACTTTTCTTCTCACAATTTCATCCCATTATTCTTTGCTAATATCTCCTCGGTCCCCTCCTGGGACAATTTTTCTCCCTCCAAACACATCTTCTCTCTAGTTATTGTTTAACCAAGCTACAGCTATGTAATACTTTTACTCTTTCCTTTAAGTCAATCCCTGCAACCCCTGTGTGGCAGGGCAGGGGTGAAACCCCTTGAATGCCCAGCTAAAATGCTGGCTAAGCCCTGCTTTCAGGCAGAAAGGCCAGGGGCAGAGGCTCAAAGCAGCCAGCAGGGAGCCCAGCTGCAGGCCCTAATGAGGGCTGTCACTGCAATAGACTGAGCTAAGCAGCGACAGCTGGGCTGAAGGCTGCGAGGGCTATAAAAGCCCTGAACAAAACTCAGTTGGGAGGCTAACCTGGGAGAAGACAGGAGGTGACAGCTCTGTCTCCTCACCACAGGAAGGGAGCCTCAAGGGCCAAGAGACCCTGGAATGGGGTAGAAATGAGATAACTGTTGGGGGATAAAGGGGACTGCACGGTGGCACTGTAAAATAAAGCACAAGGGTGAAACACCAGAAGAAGGCGTGAGAACTCTTATTTTACCAGTCTAAGCACAGGGCGAGAGGGCAGAAACCTATGCAGACCCTGTGACACCCTGTCATTTTTGTTGTTCTCTGCCAATAACTTTCTGGCACTGAAGCCCCCAGAAATGCGCACAGCATTTGAGGTTGTCTCACACCAGGCTTACATTGATGTGCACCGGCCTGTGCACAAGGTTTCAGTGAATGTGAAATCAGGTAAAGAAATGTGATGTTGACTTGATGATTTTTTCTCTTTGATTACAGTGAAGTGCAGTGGAAGAAATTCTATGATGCATTATTTACACTGGCAAGAGGGAGCTGGGCTTTAGATAGGATTCTTGAAGGACCTAGATGAAGAACAAGTTGTCAGGATTCTCAGAACATGTCTGTGGCGTACATAATGAGATCTGCTAAATATGGAGCCTTCCAGGAATAAAATTCATGGACAACAAGACCAAAATACAGCCCAAGAAAAAATATCCAGACATATCTGGAAATGACAGTGGAATAACTGGGTGAAATACCAAAGGAATCAACAGAAAAGGAGATTCTGTACTTGAGATTTTTTAGGGTTTTTTATTTATTTATTTTTTAAAAAAGAGGGGCCTCTGGTTACCACAAATAACTTTGAGCCCCATTCAGTCTCTCCTCACCTGTGCTGATGCAGATTGGTTCAGTCACTTGCAACTGGGTCTTCAATGAATGCCCGGAAACCCAGGGGAACCATTCCTGTAGCCCTTCCCGTGAAGAGCCATGGACCTTGGTGTCTTGTTTGAAAAACAATGGAAACCAGCACAAAGGATTCTGGGATGCACTGGAGGAAGACCCATTTGCAATGTGCCAAATATGGGGAAAAAGAATGAAGAAAACTGGACCAGTGGTAATAATCGCATCTGGGAAGGAGGCACAGGCAGCCACGTTACAATTCAGATTCACTGAAGATGGCATGACTACATATCACAAATCTTCAACCTCTGGGCCTGGGGTATGTTTTGATCTGGGGGCATGTGAGCTGCATGACACCCATTAATGGTAAGTCGCAGTAATATTGGGCATTCACATGGCAAGAGAAGAGCAAGATGCATAAGCATGGAGTATTTTTATATAAATTAGAGTCAGGAGGCCGAATCTTTGTGTATAAGACTGACTTTTTAACCTTAAGTTCTTACCATAAAGTATTTGCTTTGCATAAAGTACATGAACATGACTATCTGTGAGGTTCGCTTACATCGCAGAGACAGGCAGGGAAAAGTCAGTGATCCTTGTGAAGTTGAGTAACAGTGGAGGAATCAACAACATTTTAAAAAACAGAACTACTGCTTTTTAAAATGTTTTGGTTACTGTTGTTAATGCAAGAGTTAAGGCAACAATTAATGTTGTTAATGTTCTTTGTCAGATGTGCCGGTCAAATTGATGCGATGAGGGTTAAGATAGCTGGTAGATCATTCACTAAGTGACGGGATTTAGACAATTAAATTCAAATTGCTTCTTACATTTTTGTTGTAGAGTGATTAAGAGGGGAAAAAAAACAGAGGCCGCATGCCTAAGGCAAGGCATTCCGCCCAGCGAACATTATGCCTTTGTGGGCAGAAGGTAAATAGGAATGTGAATCATTTTGTATGACCTTGGCATAATGCATTGCTAGGCCCGTAGGGATGGCAGTGCATTTAATTATTTATTTTTGCGGGGGGGGGGAAGGGAGTGTTGGAGTTGAGAAAGGTGGGGGAATTCAGTGCTGGATGGAAGGAATACAGGAAGTGGGACGTTACTTGGAATGCAGGAAACAGCAAAATTATTTGGATCAAAAACACAAGCAGTTTAATGTAGTCACAGTAAGAGGCCATCAGAAAAGCCTGTCTGATACAGTGACAATATAAGAAAAGACTTTGAATCAAGACGGGATGCCTTTGCTTTAGCCAAACCCAAGTTACTGGGCTTAATGCAGGAGTAGCTGGGTGAAATTAATGGCCTATGACAGGTGTGGCCAAACTGAGGCTCACGAGCCGCTTGTGGCTCTTTAAGGGATCAACTGCGGCTTGCAGAGCTTGGGGCTTGATCCTGCGGGGAGGAGGGGAAGAGCCGGCACTCGCGGCTCCAGCCCTGTGGGGGGCACCGAAGGTCGGGGCTTCTCCCCACAGTGGGGCAAGCCGGCACTCGTGGCTTCAGCCCCATAGCAGGGCGCCATGGTTCAGGGCTTCAGCCCTGCTGGGTGTTGAGTCGAAGCTGGGGGTGGCAAAGCTGGGCTTCAGCCCCGCAGGAGAGGCACCACTGCTAGGGTCTTCAGCCCCAGAGGAGGCGGCAAGCCAGTGCTTAGGGTTTCAGCCCAGCAGGCGGAGGGGCGCTGCTGCTGGAGCTTCAGCCCCGTGGGAGGGGCACCGCGGCTGGGGACTTCAGCAGCACATGCTCATTATAACAGGAAATTGTGTCACTGTAGCACTGTGCAGACCTCGTGTGCTGTGATCTGCTTGCATGCTGCACACTACAGGCTGTGTTTACTGTTCATAAGTCGCAACTGAATAGTTTTAGATTTAAGTGTTAACCCTACATTAATTTCATGGATGACAATGACATCTTCAGACTGTGTTTCTGCGGATGTAGTTGTGAAAGAAGAAACGTTGGACTTAGTGGTGCTGAAAGAAACAGCCCGCGGTGTTGACATGAAGAATGCACTTGACAAAGCATTGACAAATGGCAATGCACTGCTGGATAAACTTGTCAGTGTTGCAATGGATGGAGCACCTGCAATGGTGGGGGGGAAAAGTAGGCCCTATTGGACTTTTGAAAAGCGATCCCAAGTTTCCGGAGTTTCTCCCTGTTCATTGCATCATCCATCATGAACATCTCACAGGCAGATACTTCAAGTATGAAAATGTTTTGAAAACAGTCCTGGAAATTGTCCAATTTCATACACTTGAATAGGAAGATTCATAGACTGCTCAAAGTGAAGCTTTCACCCTTCCTTTCACAAATATTATGAAACGTACAGCAAGCAGCGATAAGCATAGGAATATTATCAATGGCCAGGTCCAGCTTCCCTTATAGGCAGCGCCAGTGGGCCTTTAAACGGCCAAAAGCACATTGAACAGTCATTCTGCACTTGCTCAGCCTGTTGTTGAACCGCTGCGGTCAAGTTGCCCCATGTATGGCTTCATAAGCCACAGCATTAAGGGGTAGGCAGGTCTCCAAGGATCACAATGGACATTTCGACTTCCCCTACGGTGATCTTCTGGTCCGGGAAGAAAGTCCCTGCTTGCAGCTTCCTGAACAGGCCAGAGTTCCGAAAGATGCGTGCGTCATGCACCTTTCCGGGCCAGCCTGCGTTAAGGTCTGTGAAACGCCCACGATGATCCACAAGCACCTGGAGAACCATTGAGAAATACTCTTTGGGATTAATGTACTTGGTGGCTAGGTGGTCTGGTGAATGAATGCCATTTATCGCCCCTCAGTAGTTAAGAAAGCCCATTTGTGCAAAGCCATCCACAATGTCACGCACGTTGCCCAGGGTCACGGTATTCCGGAGCAGGATGTGATTAATGGCCCTGCACACTTCTGTCAACACAAGTTCAACGTTTGACTTTCCCACTCCAAACTGGTTAGTGACTGATTGGTAGCAGTCTGGAGTAGCCAGCTTCCACAGCGCAATCGCCACGCGCTTCTCCAATGGCAGGGCAGCTCTCATGCTCGTGTTCTTGCGCCGCAGGGCTGCGGCAAGCTCATCACACAGTCCCATGAATGTGGCTTTCCTCATCCGAAAGTTCTGCAGCCACTGCTCGTCATCCCAGATGTGCATGACTATGTGATCCCACCACTCAGTGGTTGTTTCCCAAGACCAAAAGCGGCATTCCACTGTGGTCAGCACCTCCATGAATGCCAAAATCTCATGTCATAGCTACTAAGTGTGGTGAGATCAATGTCGCACTCCTCTTGCTTTTGTAGTTTTAGGAATAACTCCACTGCCACTCATGATGGGTTAGTCAGAGTGAGTAGCATACTGGTCAACAGTTCGGAATCCATTCCTGCAGCCTGAAGAGGCAGAGCGCACAGTACACAAACCGTGGGAAGATGGTGCCAAATGTGGATGGAAGCACGGGGGTTTCTGGAATGCAAAGCAATGCATCACGGGGCATTGGGACAGGACTCAGGATGCCCCGCGATCCCCTCCGCCTTCCCACAACTCTTAGCGGCAGAAGAGGAAGAGATGTTCTGTGGGATAGCTGCCCAGAGTGCACCACTCCAAATACTGCTGCAAGTGTGAACACGCTATTGCACAGGCAGCTGACAGTGTGAACACACAACAGCAGTTTCCCTCCAGCGCTCTCTGAGCAGCGCTGTAACTCTGCCAGAGTAGACATTCCCTAAGAGCTCTGCCTGGGAGCACACCTTCTGTATGAAGTTCAGAGGAGGGGGCACCAGGCCCCTCTGTGCCCCCTAAATGGCACCCCTGCCGTAAAGGCTAATGTTTCCCTACCTTCTTCTCTGTACTCTACGGTGTAGCCTGAAATGGTGCAATTGCCAGTACTGGATGGGGGCAGCCAGCGAAGGATCACTGAAGTGCAGCTTCTTTCCTGAGCAATGGGACGGTTTGGGGCTGCTGGAACACCTTGAAGAGAAAAACCAGTATCACATCACTTATTGTTTGTACTTTATTGCTTAGAGCATATAAAAAAAAAGCCTTTCCACTACCTATTGTGGACATGAGAGTTGTCTGGGCAGCGGCTGGCGAGATCACAGGAATTGTTCTATCAGAACTGGCCCATCCAGTCAGGTATCCTGTTTCCAACCCGGGTCTAGACTGAAAGGTTTTAGAGGAAGGCCAATGCCCTCTAGACCATAATGTGCTGACTCAATTGTGCAACACTAGAGCATGGGTGGGAGTTTCTTCTTGCTCTCAGCTTTGCTCTGAAGCCTGAGTGCCCACTCTCTCGAGTAATATTTGAGGAACAAAGGAAGGCAAGTGCAGCCACGGTATATTTGAGCATCACTGAGGATGGCATGGCAATATCATCACCCTTCTACCTTTGACCTTGGAGAACAGCGGGGGGGAAGGGGGAGGGGAATTTTCACTCAGACACATGGCAATTTGGATTAGGTTATTTTAACTATGGTAAATGCAGGTGCATGGGTGTCCTTAGCCCATTGCTACTGGTTTCTGCTGCAACCTCAGGGCCTGATCCAAACCCACTGAAGTTAAAAAAAAAAAAGTCCAACGATTTCCCTGAACTTGGGATTGGGCCGTTGGTGTGGTGAGCACACACAGTAGTGACCTTTGAACGGCTGACATTGCAAAAGGTGACAGACAAGGCACACGGGGTGGAATTATTATTAATAATAATAATACTTATTTGAATTACTGTAGCACTTAGGAGTCAATCAGCAATTGCTACGCATGTAGCTAAGCCCTGTCTGGAATATGGTAGCAGCTCATTTACCCACTTACTTTCCCGGTAAATCTGACAAATCAAACCAATGGGGCCCATTGTGAGAACAAACAAATTGACTTCCTATATGTTCATGATACTCGCATCTCCACAAGCCATCAGTTATACTTTCATTACAGCTGCGTTGCCTCCAATGCCGCAGGCATCTCTCATTTGAATTTCTAAAATATGCTTTGTTGGAGCTGGAGGTCACCAACAATCAGCTCACCATTGGGACTCATTACAATTCCATGGAACCTTCATCATTCCTCAAAGGTGAGCTCCCACAAAGTGTTTTCTAAGGGCCAAGTCCTTACCCCCTCCCTTCAAAGGGGTGCAAAGCCCTAAATTCACCACCAGTAAACTTCACACCCCCTTGCTTAGGTGCAGGCTCCCCTGGCCAAAGCTTCCTGCAAAGAGGGAAGAGCAGGGGCAACAACATCTGTAGGCAACAGCATCTATGCTGATGATTTGCAACTTGGAGAGGACTCAATTTCCTGCTTACTCTCACTGAAAGCCTTTATGCAAATCACACTTGGGCTTTGCATCAGGGCCCAGTCTGGGCCCACAGGATGCTGTAGTTATGGGAAGCAGCATTCTCAGTTAGGATGGGTAAAGGTTATGTGGTTATGATGCATGTTAGGCCAACATTTTAAAACATGGCCTTTAAAGTTAAGGCATCTAAATCTAGAGCTAAGCATCAGCTGCTCCCTCTGACATGAGTGGGAATTGGGGTTGAGTAAAGGCTGTATGATTTGGCCCCCTTGTTTGTCATTCACTTGCAACAGCTCCTTACCTACTTGTTTGGAGAATGGATATTTGTAAGTGCTCCCAGCCTCCACAAAGAGGCTCAGCAAAGCTGTTGCTGCATTATGTTTCAGAAGCACAAAAAGATAAGGTTAAAATCCAATACCTTGCACTTTGACTGTAGCTGAGGTCGAGGCTGTTCCATGTTCATTTGTTGCCACACAGGTGTAAATACCACTGTCCTGAGGCATCAGGTTACAAATCTTCAGGGCGATTTCCCCAGAATCACTACAGGTGTCAGAAACGTCACAGTTTAAAATGCTGCTTTACGAGCGAATACTTACACAGGCATCTCTCATAGCGTATTGGAACGATGACGATGTCTTAGAGGGTACAATGGGCACAGATAAAGGACGTCAATGCAAAGCACTAAGGAGAAATACATACTAAGGGTATTTTTAGTTCTACTGGGCCAAATTCAGACCTGTGACATTGCTCCATTGAGTCCAATGGATTTGCACCAGATTGCAGTAGGTCTGAATTTGGCCCATTGCACGTAAGTTATCCGTCAGTCAGGTGTTTTGGCAGCGGAGGGGTGGGGAGAGGGATGTTGGGGAAAAAAAGAATCAAGGCAACAAGACTAGATGGATCCCCAGTTCTGAAGGAAAAAAGGGAACCACTGATGTAAACACATCACCTGTATGGGAATATCATCCCTCTAAATACCCCAGGGAATCAATCTGCTGAGTAAATGCAAGCAGGGCAAATTAGAGTAAGGGCAGCCATGAAAACCTGATGGTCTCCAGGGGCTCTCTTGACCTGGCAGCACGTTTCGATGAATGAGCACAGTACCTTCTTTTTGATTTCTTATTTTTCATTTTCACCCGACTCTGCATTCCCAGGTTACATCTGCACCAGAACCAGAAGTGCTGAAAATCTTTTGAGAGCTTGTTCCCCTGAGATTTCCACTTTAATTTTGTCCTCCCGAGTGGTTCAGATAAGCTGTAGATGAGCATCTGAATTGCACTCAAACTCCAGAGCCAGCAAGGTTTGCCCAAAGCTGATTGCAAAGCTCTCTGGAAAATATCTTTTTCCCTCCCCAACGTGGGGCTTTTGGGGCATCCAGCATCATGATGGCCTGTCTTTCTGCCCAAGCGCCGTCAGCTAGGACTTCCCCTAGAGACCGTCGATGCTCTTCTTGGAACAGCTGGAGGAGGTCCCTAGAGAGCCACACAAGACACTGTCTCGTCCCAGAGGCGAAGCATATTCCCAGGTTGGGGAGCTGCAGACTTCACCCGAGTCCCAAACTTTGATCCCCTATAGCTGGCATACATAATGTGCTGCTACTGCAGCATGCCAGGCTGGCCTAGATAATCATATCTTTAACGTGTCTTGCAGTCTGACTGGTGCAGTCACCTCATTTGATGGGAAGGAAACTACCAACAAGCCTGAATACTTTGGGAGTCCAATGCATGAACTTACCAGGATGAAACGGTATAAGTGGCTGTGCTGTTCTCATTGTCGAGAATATTTTGATCCGGTCCCTTCCAGGTTATGTTGGGCTTTGGCCGTCCACAGACTTTGCACTGAAGCATCACTGTGTCACCAAGCAAACAGGTGATATCCACTAATGGCACAAGGAACTCTGGAGCCACTGGAGCAAAGACACACACACACACACACACACAAATCCTTTTAGCCAAGCAGAAGAAATGTGCCCCCATCCAGACCCAATATTTGAATACAAGCGTTTCATCCTACCAGTCACAGTGGGTTTTTATACAGGGATCATGTGCCTGAATGATGCCTTTAAAACCTTTGTACCAAGTGCTAAGGATACAGGAGGCTGGAAGGAAAATTGCTGAAACTGCAACTTCACTAAGAGCCAGACTGTGATGGTTCTTGCACGGCCATGCTGGGGTAGAAGCCCTGCAAAAAGCCCAAGGTGCAAGGGCCTCCCACACTAGCAGTTCCTTTGCTCTGAAAAGCGCAGAGACTGCTCGCTTCTTTTCTCCACCTGGGAAGCAAATCACTGGAAAATGGGTGAGGAGGAAGTGGGCTGTGTCCCCTGCAGCCTGCTGAATAGCGCTGGCACACTGGGGGAGATGGTGTAACACCAACAGGCCCCGGTCATTGGCGGGCGGGATCGAATCTGGGACCTCTGGAGCTTAGTGCATGAGCCTCTACTGCATGAGGCTAAGGCTGTAGAGCAGACTCATTTTCTCTCTCTCTTTAAGTGGTTTTGGTGCCACTAGATGGGACAGAACATCACACCCAGGAGGTGTGTGGGTTACAATGGCATTCTGTACCATCATAATAGATGGAGCAGAGCGAGCTCCTGCTCCTTCCGGTTCACACTGAGCAGCCACGGGAAAGACTGCGCTGGCCTGAGGCACAATCTCCTGATGCTCTTCCTGGGCCAATGCAGCTCTCGCCTGCCTCTTTGGCAGGGCTGTACCACCACCCTTAAGATGCTAACGCTCAGGCACTGGCTATTTCACTTGACTTTTTTGTTTTGAAAACGGCATTTGGGGGAAGTGCGGGTCTGGTGATTTCAGCACTGCATGGATCCTTTGGTTGTTGACAGGAGGCACTAGGGCCAGAAGGAATCCTCCTCACGCTGATTACCCTGGAATCTAGCCAAGATTACTCAGGCAGCGTGCCAGTGCGGGACCTGCCCTAGTGCGAGTCACTATGATCAAACCCTGTGAAGTTCTGTTTCACGTGGGTTGATCCTGGTAGCTGGCGTGGCAGGAAAACATTGCAGTGTGCAGCTGTCTTTCACTCACCTTCTTGGATGAAATTTGGGTTCATTATCTGAAAAAATAGAAGAAATAGAAACATTTCATTTTTTTGGACAATAAAGAAGCGGCACCTCTCTTCTGCAAGGTAAAGTGAAGAAATGGACATGAAATTCAGAGAGAGAGAGAGAGAGAGCGAGCGAGCGCGCCTGATCAGAAAGCACGAGAGGAATCTCTAACAACCAACATCCCAGCAAGCATCTAAGTGAGTTCTAAATGGCTAGTGCATAGTTAGAAAGGCAAATTAAAGTACCAGTTCTTAAAAATTTGATAAAGCATACCCCTTTCCAGTGTTAATTGCAGCACAGGCAACAGGCAATAATCTAACTCTCTGAAGGCTGTAGACTATAGTTTGTTTATTTTTATCACATACGTGGTGATGATGCTCATTCTATTAATTCCTTTCTTTCTGCAACCACGTGATATATTGTTCCACCATGTGATCAATTGCATAGCCATGTGATCAAATGCATTTATCATGTACCTTTGACTATCTGACCTGCACTCTGCCCACTAACCCATCTCTGTTGAGACACCTTTTAACCTCTGAAACGCTTCAGTAAAAAGGGTGGGGGGGAAAAACATGTCACAAAAATACTTACTTCTTTGCCCTCACTCTCTGTTACAATAGTTCAAGCCCCAAGGCTGACAGATTCCAGTCCAATGACAGCATTAAGGTCTAATATCTTGTGGCCTGTCATGGCTATAAAATCTTGCCTTCTCTCACTGGATCTCTGGGAATCTCTACTTTCTAAATTATTTGCACCTAGTCATGCCATTTGTGAGCTCTTTTATATAATGATGGAATGCAGTCAAAATTAGAAATGATTTATCATTCAATGACCCACACATGGTAATTGAGGCAACTTGACCTTACATTTTAAAGGTGGAGGGATACAAAATCAATACCAATAAATTTTTACAATGCTACATCTATAACAACGTAATACATGATGCTGGAGTGGTAAGAAGATTTTATTGGCACTTGTTTAGGGTAGGTTCATTAACTCTGTTGCTTCGTGAGCCACATTCAGGCCAGTAAAACACTGTACCAGCACCATGTACACACCAATATCCTGTTTCTCTACTTAAACATCTTTACATGCATTTATCTAGGTGCCAGTGTGGGAGATATCAGTGCATTGAAGGTCTGATGCAAAGCGTAGTGATGCTGATGGAGTCTATCCATTGCCATCCTGGGACCATTCAGGCCTCAAGAACAGAAGCAGTAATGTTTAAAGGTAACCGTTTAAAAGCGAAGAGATGAATTCAACATTTTTTGGCTTACAAATAGCACAGAATGAGAAAAGTGCTAGAACATGCATATAGCACTGGAAGGTTTCAACCTTTGGGCTAAATTCTGCTGCTAATGCTCATCCATGCACGCCAGCAAACCTTCAGGTTGCAGCAGACACACGAGGGAAGTTGGTTGTGTGCCTGTGCCTCCTCCAGAAGGTGTAAAAGACAGCACTCGTCAGGCCCCCTTCAATTTTCACCATGGAAAGGTGTAACTGCAAGTGGTAAGAGGGAAATGGAGACGGCCTCCAGGTACATATACACCCACTTCTGCAGCTGACCAGAGCATGCTCTTATACATCAGAGGTCTTCATGCATTATCTTTTTTTCTTAGCAAAAGGAGAATGCAGGAGGGGACCATGCTCCGGCCCGGCCTCAGGCAAAATAGGGACACATACCGACACAAGTTTTGCTGCATATATATTTCCATTTGGGATGTGGGTTACCTGACTTCCTAGCATTGGCCAGAATTTGGTCTTTCATGGTAGATCTGATAGGAATCCAAGATTTATCATAGTGGAGGAGATCATTGATCCATACAAGCCAGTACTGTACATGTAGTATTCACGAAATGGTCAGTAATTGATACTTGGGAACAAAGCCCCCAATACATTTCCTAATAATGCACCTAACCAACTAGAATTCTGTACATAGGGGACATCTTCTTGACACCCTGACATTCTGGGAATAATGGAGATCCCATTTTTTTGTTCTCGGAAGCTTATAAAGAATTAAACCATTTTCTTCATCCAAGAAGTCTTTTAGGATTGTTTTTCCAAACCTAGTATTGACTTTAATGTGAAAGAATCTGTGTAAATAATAATGGATCTCAAATATATTCTGCATAAAAATTATTAATCTCCCCAAGATATTGGAGAACTTTGTCATCCCTTCTGACAGTAACGACCATTAGTGGATGACATGAACACTCTAAACATGTAATTGGAATCAGATGTGGACAGCTGCTCATTTAAATTCAAGTGCTTTGTCTTCACACAGTTAAGAAAGAAATAGACAGAAAAGCGAAGGAAACATTTCGAATGTTCCTGTAGGAAATGTCAGAGGAGCAGTTCCGCTCTGAAAAATAACTATGGCTCCTTTCTCCCTCGACAGATCTGCTGACTTTAGTGACCAGACTATAGAGTTTTTCCCCTCCTGGCCTGGGTGCGGGAGCTAGGATTCTATTCCTTCTTGCGTATCATCACCTGCATTGTTAATTGAGAACTAGTCTTCACTACAGCGCTAAATTGATGCCGCTGCGATTGATGCAGCGGCGTTGACTTAGCGGGTCTGGTGAAGACATGATAAGTCGATGGGAGAGCACTCTCCCGTTGACTTCAGTACTCCACCTCAAAGAGAGGCGGAAGCTACGTCGATGGGAGAGCGTCTCGTGTCAACAGAGCACAGTGTAGACACTGCTGCAAGTTGACGTAAGTTATGTCAACTTAAGTTACCTAATTTACATAACTTAACTAACGTAACTTACAACGTTAGTGTAGACAAGGCCTGAGTTACATGTGTGCAAACCCACAGATGCATAACATGGCAAAGGGAACCTTTAGTACTGGCAGCAATGCATGAGAAAGTATAGAATCCGGCTTGACTTTCTCATCCTAGGTGGAGTTTGCAGGCATTTCAGCTGGGGAGGGAACCAAGCATCTCTTTGCTTGTGAACAGAGAAGATTTGATGTGAAAATCACTGAGACAATGGGGCCATTTTAAAAGTAGCTGTTCAGAGCAGAACCACATCTTAGGACAAGTATTTAAGAATGCCACTGCAAAGAACTCAGGATCCTAAGCATGTGCTCAATAACCGCACACCAGGCTGAAGGGAGGCAACCCAGAAGAAAGGATGATTATGCCAGATGATCCCTTTCCACATTACCGCCAGCCAGCCATCCTACCAGCTGAAGGGCCTGATCCAAAGGCCAAAGGAACCAATGATCTTCAGATTTGGCCTTAGCTCTGCATTTTAGGTTCTGTACAGGCAGAGACGGGGAAAGTTAGCATGCAGCTAATCATCAGGGGTTTCCTCTCTGGAGTCGTATGTTATGCAGCTAGTTACTGTGTGGATTAATACCGATTCCTGGATCATCATTAATTTACATACATGCTAGTTCATTCTCTCTCACACACATACACATACTCTCTCTCCTGCTCTGACACAGGGGCAGAGGAGGTGAGACCTGCCCTTGTGATTAAGTGTTTCTCTCATTAATAGGAAACGGAAAAGGAATTGGAGTAAGTTTCATGGTAAGACACTAGGAGCTGGACATTCAGGACACTTACTGATGTTTATGTTAATGAGAAATGCATCTCTATCAAATATGCAGGTCTGGGCATTAACTGATTTGCCCTAAGGCTCCAGCATTCTGGACTTTTTAGCTTAACCAATATACACGACCTCAGAACTGAAGTTAGAATCACAGTGTAAGTGAACTCCATACCACCCCTGCTCTGGAACTTTAAACCTGCACATCCGCCCTGCACTCACCCATTAAAGTGCCTTTTATATTAAACTGATTTCTACCTTTATTGGATTGGGGAGCAAGAGAATGAACTGCTGTTAACACGTCACATTGAGTTCCTAGATGTAATAGCTGTATCTATTAATGAAACATTTAAGAGGTCTCAGATATTAAAGCAATGAGTGTAATAAAAATATCTATTAATAAATAATGCTACCTTCTTTAATAACTTGTGAGACACGATACATTTGCAATAATGACCTTACAAAGTATTTTATATTTTAGTACCCGGAAAGAAAATTACTATAGTTAGATAATGTTGAATGAGTCTATAGATAAAATTTCTATTGTCTTTCAATAAGACTTAACCTAAGACTGCCTAAGTCTCTCTTGAAAAATTGGCCTTTTGAAATTCGTATCCTTTATGTGTAAGTTATTACATGACTGCAATTTAGAAAAAATGTGATATTAGACCAAAAAGAACATTTTTGCAAATAAATCCTTAATTCAAAGTGTTCCCCATGTGATTCAGCTACTGGTTTCAGTATGTCAGTTAATAAATCATAATATACTTCGCTCTCTAATGTCTTACAAAAGGAGAGGGAATATCACTATCCTTTTTGTACAAAGCAGGGAAATGGAGGCATAGGAAGGTTAAACTACTTGCTCAGATGCAAAGAATGAGTCCGTGACAAAAACCTGATACAGAATCTGGATCCCCCAACTCACCATCCAGATCCCCATTCCCTGCACTTTGCTGTCTCTATTTCCAAAAAGATTTATAGTCCCAGCTTGTGTGTGGGCAGCAGGTGGTGATTAGAATTTAATCAGCTCCTATCTGTGCATGACAGAATATGTCTACACTGCAATAGGGGTGTGAGATTGCAACTTGTGTAGACATAACTGAGCTAGAAAACCTTGTGGCAGCACAGGCTTCAGCACGGCCTGTGCAAGCCTGCCTGGACCCCTTAATAATTATTTGGGCAGCTACCTCTCGCTGAAGTCCGGGCTGCCGTGGCATCACTGCTTCAGTACCTGAGCTGTGTGCATGAGCTGCAATCGGACCCACGATTGCAGTGTAGACATACTGTAAGCTAAACCAACTTCTGTGGAGTCAAGTGTTTTCTTCAAGCCACCAAACAGACATAACTTTTTGTCATTATAGCAGAGGTACGTAAGACATCTTGGGCCAAATCCTCAGCTGATATAAGATGACATAGAACCATTGAATTATTTGTGCGGGAATGGTGTC